GTCCCGTGTCTGCCGCGTGTCGATGCCGTTGACGCCGTGTCTGACGCGTGTCGAACGCGTGTCCGTCTCCGACAAGCGTCAGACACGGGGACGGGGGATGTTTGCAAGAGTCAGTGCTTCATAGCTGACGAGAGACATGTTTTCCTAGAAACTTGGAATCTGACCCCCTTTTTTCTATTTTCCCCATTTTAGCATGGACCCCAAGTCGTTTATGAATATTTTGACTAGACCCACAAAATCTATAATCAAAACAATTAACTTACGTCTTGTTTTAATTCCTAATAAAATAAGAAAACCCCACTTATTTGATACATAAGAATCGAGTTGAGTTAGAGAATGCAACAAGAAGTAAAATATAATAAATGTGAGAATAAAATGCTCATTTTTATCCTCATATTTGAGTGTCATTAGGAAAAGAAGAAACATAAAAACTTTAGCTTCTAGACTCGAACAATGCTGACGGTTGTTTATAGAGGCTGCTCACATACTAGCCCAATCTAGCTGTGATTGAAGACAATAGGATACATCACCGCGGCAGTGTTAAGACCTTTTTATTTATAATTAAATGATCATTTCCATTTTTAATAACTTTTTGGAAATGTTCATTCTCACAAAATTCTTTCCGATATCAAATTTTTCGGCAAAGTACTAGTAAAGTCTGACGGTTAGAACATGTGTACAATAAAACAGAAATAATTGCGAAGAACAAGTGCGAGAATAAACAACAAATAATCACAAACACAGAAATTCATGTGATTCACTCAATTTGAACTACGTCCACGGCGAAGGGAGAAATTCCACTATCAAAAGAGAAAGAAGTAGAAGAACAATGCAATAGCCTAAATCCTCAAACTCTCATTTTCAAACCCTCTTATTCTAATTATTTTTTAAATCTTAACTCTCTCTATTTTTATATAGGAGACTACAATAGATCATGAAAGAGGTATCTAAAACTTAGTAGAGGTTGGAGATAAAAAGAAAAAGGAATAGCTGAGATTAAATCATCAAAACTGTAAATCAACGTTGTTCCATCAATGATCTCCTGCAACCCATCCATGTTTTCATGTAGTCATTGATAATTCTAAATCCAAGTTCTATTTTTCTCTGCTTACTCATTGTAAACCATCGATTATAAGTGACCATCGATTATAAGTGACCATCGATGATGTCCTTGTGACCATCGATGATCCATTGGTTGAAATCAACATTCAAAGGGTTTTGAGGGCACAATTTTAACAAATCTCCACATTGACTCAAAATCCTGAATGAGTTCTTAACTTTCTCAATAGTGTTTTTATTGATCCCCTACAAATGCGCCCTACGATGCCTCAATGCTCTTTGACATGAAGCAAGTTCAAACAAAGCTTGAATTTAGCAATCAATAATGGCTTATTCAATATATTTGCCGGATTATTCTTGGTGACAATCTTCTTTAAGACTACTTTACATTCCTCAGCAATCTCTCTAATGAAGTCATATCAAATCTCAATATGCTTCGATTCTAAATTGAAGACTGGAGGCTTAGCCAAGCGAATTGCATTTTGGCTATCACAACGAACAAGACTAATTACTTGCTCAACTCACAGTTCACCAAGAAAACATCTCAGCCGTATTGCTTCCTCCATAATTTTTGTAGTTGCCATGAACTTCGCCTCTGTAGTAGACAATGCAATAGTAGATTTTAGCATTGGCATCCAACAGATGGAATCTAGCGAAAGAGTAAAAAATATAACATGTAGTCGATCTGTACTTATCCAAATCATCAGCAAAACGTGAATCAACATATTGGGTAACAATGCAATTCGCGCCACTATCTCTACCAAATATCAAGCCAATACCTGAATTTCCCTTCAAGTATCTAAGGATCCATTTTACAACTTGCCAGTGCTTTTTACCAGGTTTGCCATATACTTACTATTAACAACGGCAGCTTGTGAAAGATCCGATCAAGTACAAATCATCACAGACATGTTGCTACCAACCGCACTGGCATTAGGTACCTGAGATATGTAGTTATGATCTGCATCTGTGCTAGGTGATAATGATGCTGATAACCTGAAGTGAGTTGCAAGAGGAGTGATAACTTGTTTCGAATTATGCATTTCTCAATGTAACTTTTCTATGATAACCACAACTTTTTTCCTTTCTTATCTCTGATAATTTTCATGCCAAGAATTTTCTTTCCTGCTCCTAAATCTTTCATCTCAAATTCTGCACCAAGTAGAATTTTTAACCTGTTCACCTCGAATTCATCCTTAGCTGAGATAAACATATCATTGATATATAATAGCAGATAAATAATGTAATTATCATTCAATCTTTTGAAGTAAACATAGGCATCATATTTACTCTTACAGAACTCACGACTGATCATGAAGAATTAAATTTTCTGTACCATTGATGAGGAGATTGCTTCAAGCTGTATAGAAATTTCTTCAGCAAACAAACATGATCTCCTCTTCCTTCAATTAGAAAACATTAGATTGTTGTATAAAAATCTCCTCTTTAAATTCACCATGTAAGAAAGTTGTTTTGATATCTACTTGCTTTAACTTTAAATCATGTAATGCAAACCGTGATAATAAAATACGAATGGAGATGTGTTTAACAACAGGCGAGAAAATATCATTGTAATCAATACCTTCAACTTGACTGTATCTTTTGTGCAACTAGTCGAGCCTTATATCTTGCATCTAAAGCACCTGTAATGCCTTTTTCTTGAATACCCAGTTATGGTCGATGATTCTTTATCCATTCAGATGAGCTACTACATCCCATGTCTAATTTTTATGAAGAGATTCAATCTCCTTACTCATAGCAATTAACCAATTTGCAGGATCATGTGACGAAGTGATTTCTAAAAAACTGATTGGTTCTCTTACATCATCTATCTCTTGAGCTGCTGACAATGCATATGCAAATGGCTAAATCTGCATATATCCGAGGTGGCTTTATCAATCACCTTTCTTTGCCTTTTGCAATACTATAAGTGTTATCTTCAGTTGTAATTTCTGTTCCTCATCATTTTCAGGAAAATCAGTAGCTGGTTGTTCAGTTAAACTATGAGAATCGGTCTCTAACTCCACATTCTCTCCAATACTCTTATGTATAGTACCTGCATCAGAAGGAGCAACAACAATATGTTCTTTCAGAAGCAACATAGCAGACTCGTATAATATTATATTGTTTTCAATCATAAATTTAGGTGATTTAGGATCAGGGCATCACAACCTATATACTTTCACCCCAAAGACATAACTAATAAAAATACACGTTTTTAGATCTAGGTTCTAATTTACCCGATCTATATGTGCATATGCATGACAACCAAATACTCTCAAATTAGAATAATCAGCAGGATGACTAGACCATATCTCTTCTGGTGTCTTGCAATCAATGAATGTGGATGGTGAGCGATTCACCAAATAACACGTCATAGAACTGCTTCAACCCAGAATCTTTCAACAAATCGACATTCAACAACATGCAATGACCCCTCTCAAGAAGAGTCCTATTCATCTGTTTTGCATTGCCGTTTTGTTATGATGTGTGTCGCATGGTCATATGTCTAACTATATCCTCATCCTTGCAAAATTCATCAAACTCCATAAAGTAAAATTTTAACCCATTAGATGTTCTCAGCCTCTTACTTTTTTTGTTAGTCCACTTCTCAACCAATGCTTTCCACTACTTAC